TGCTAAATACAGTGAGGAGGCTCCCCTGCATGCTTCTTTTACTGTGCAGAGCTGTGTCAGTGGGAGCTGTGTTTCTGGAAAGTGGGCATATGTGCAAGCTTAAAAAAGACAAGTTGAGAGAGGAGAATATCCTTGAGCTCAGAGAAACCATGAGGACTAAGTCCTGTTGATGGTGCAATACATGGGGAAAAAAAATCTTGCAAGATAAGTCACTCTTGAAAGTCAGACCAGTGGAATCTATGTTGTCAGACATGAAAAGTACCCAATTGCTGTAAAGAAGTTCTTAAAATATGCTTTTACACAAGCTCATTTTGTGCTTCATTATAGTCATGGTTGACATGACGGAGGGGATAGGAAGTGTGTGCTTCCATTCATGCTTTATGTATAGTATGAGACAGGTCAGCATCTTGGTACTGCTGGCCAAAGCCTCTGAATTCCAAAGCAGAAATCTTGATCGTTCCAGAACAGGCACATGCACCAACAACTTGCAGTTACAGTAAGGTGGTAAGTAGAATTGATTTTCAGCATGGAGCCCTGTTACTATTCAGTTTGAATCGGAACTATCTTTAGCTAACTTCTTTTGTCGTATTTTAGGCTGGTGCAGATTCTGTCCTTTATGTCAGTTTCCAGAATACTTGACAAATAAAATAGTGTCTGTCCTCTTAAAGCTCCCTCCCTGTGAGTCAGTAATACCACATAATGCACAAAAGTACCTGTTCAGGCTGCTGACGATTTAAGACAGTTATGAGCTGAAATAATGAAACAGAGCCTGAACAGAATTGTGGCGATTGTTTGAATGGTCCTTCGAGTATCCGCAATTAAATTCCATCAAGTATCGTGTGAAAAACCCTTATTTTACCCCTGGTCCAAAGATTGGATTTTTTTCCAAGACACAAATGGCATTTGCACAAAACCACTTCCAAGGCAGAACATAATAGCTGACAACTTTAACTTGAAAGTGTATGCCTGTCTTGCCATCAGGCAGGAAACACCTGAGGTCCATTAGGACTCAGGTTTGTGAGGCTGCCAAGGTCTTGCAATTGGATCCAGCACAAGTGATGAGCTGTCAGGTTCTTATGATAGTGTTTATTGTGGCTCTGAGACACCTATTTGACCTCAACAGCCATCATCTGTGAGAACCCTGGAGTAAACCTGGCTCAAAGTCAAGCAAATTAAATTCAGTACAAACCAAGACATCCTATAACATCCTATATTAAGATTTTTTTTCAGCTTCCTCACATTTCAAACTTAGACCTTTATTCCTAATAAAGACAACATTTCTTTTTCTCCTTCATATTTAAATACAAATTTCAATTATCAAAGAATCTGGAAGGGAGTGGAGCAAAGCAGCCTGAAAAGAATTTGCAGGGAAGTAGTTATTATTTATCGTCAGAGAAATTACATGGCTGGGAAACAACCTCATTTGAGTTCATCTCCACATCTGTGTAGCTTTTCATTTATACTAGTTCTTCCTGTGGGCTCTCAGCTGTTATTTCCTTTTTTTTTTTTACCCCCTATTACATATGTCCCTAAATGGCTAATGATTGTTCGACGGAGGAAGAGTAGTTTTACCTCATTTAAAGAAGCGAATGAAGGCATTCTACAAATTTTAAGCTGATTATGAATTACCTTTTCCACAGTGTCAAACTGCTCTAAAATCTGCCTTCTCGGCTGCAGCAGTTGGGGGGTGTCTCTGCCTCTCCACCCACTCCTCTCTCTCCTGTTTTAATAGATCAGATTAGCAGAACCAGGTTAGGGAGCAGCTATGTGCAGAGTGTAAGCCAGAGGAAGAGGCTCAGGGGTCAGACAGGGACTTCTGAGCAGCCCAAGCAGTTGCACCTTTGATGGATTAGAATAGCACAGAGAAACACATCTGTGCCCACACAAGTGCCAAGTGTTAGGGAGGCCCTTAGGGTGGGGGAGAGGATGGTTTTGCATGTGTGTTTGATGTTCCTGTTCACTTGAGTACAGTTCAGAAAAAGTAAACTATACACATCTTCCACTGTGCAAATCACATCCTCATTGTGTTCTTTGGATAGTAAATATGGTACATGTTTTCTCTCTCATACAGTTAACAGCGAACTTTGTGGGTAAGTGCAGTTTGTAGCTTACCTGTTGTCTAATGCACACTCACAGTTCATCATATCCACAGCTGGAGGTATTTGGGGTTGTTCAGTGGACTGTACTGGAATTCGGGTCTTTTCACCAGAAAGGAAACTGAAAAGCCCCGACAGGACCCACACTGTGTCAGCCAGGACAGGACAGGCTGTGTTAACCTCATGAGCATGTTGTGAACTGGTGCGATTAAACACCAGGTGTGTAATTCCACACTTGTACAGCATCTGTGAATGGAGCTCAATTACTTCCAGCCCTGTGGGTAAAAGTTGCTTACTGGCTTACACACACTGCAATAAATCCAAGATGCTTTCCCTGTCTGCCTTTGGCCTGCTGCTGCATTATGCAGCACACAACTTGCTTGTGTCCACCCTGATACCGATGAATGACAAGTTTAACAAGATTTCTCCTCCCCATGTACCTTGTCTAAAGCTCTTGCCTTTAGTCCAGCCACTGAGAAGATTATTCTTTACCTACTGGAAAACACAGGGTGTGTGCTTTTGTGGGGCTTGCTCAGGACCTGAGTGTACGTCTGCCTTAGGAAAGAAATAATTCTCTGGGAGGGAAAAAAAAAGGTGTAAAGCTATTTACGGCTGCTTTCTGATTTGTTCCACATCTCTTGCAGCTTGAATGAGAACTCGTGGTCCAGCCTTCCAAGTCCACAAAATTATTTTACCTAAGCTTGTGAATTCCTCAGCTTTGTTTCTTTACCTCAGTCTCTTTTTTCCCCCCACAGGTTTCTAAGGTGATTTATTCAAAATATATTAGGTAATCTATTAAGAACTTTTCTTAAATGCATTTTCAGCATTTTATGATGGAAAAAGCCCAGCTTGAGGTGCTGATTCTCATACCAAAAATGGAGCAGCTTCATTTTGCTACAGCATCATTCAGGGGTATGAAAGATATCAGTAACAGAGAGGGTTTGGACTCCATGCAAATCCTTCTCTATCAAGAAAAGGCTTTAATTAAAAAATAAGTGAATTTTTTTCCTGTTAAGATGCTGGAGATCTTTAGCATTTGACAGGTTAATATTTAGCCTGATGCTTCAAACGCTAAGGTGAAAGCTGCCCATTAATGACCTGTAATGAATATTTCATTTTCTCTCCATATGTGGAAAAGTAATAAAAAATCAAATGCAATGAAAGTTAACTGTAAGAATTACATTAATCAGTCTTGAAGAATAGCATTTATTAGTATCACCTGGAAAATGTATCCCATGCCACCCCTTAAGACCACTTCAGATACTTTACACAGCTTTAGTAAAATCAGTAACAGAATGTTTACAGTTAATCTCTCAACCAACATCGAAAGATTTATACATTTTATTGGAGCAGTAAAAAATGCTCATCTTTGACTTGCTCTCAATAATGTGAGATACATGAAATCGATGTCCACAGACATACCTCTTCCCACTCCTCACTCTAAATTTAGAGTGTACAAAGCAGCTGTTTTCTGATGGTGAAAGCCTCGGTCTGATTGCTGAGTGTTCACTGGTGGAAACATCTGCTCCTGCAGATCCCACTCATCTCCACACAAGTCCCGCAGTTCAGCATGTTGCAAAGAAAAACCTGCCTCAAATGCAGTCAATGCAGTCTTCCCATAGTTTTCAAGGGTGTCGGGATCAAGAGTGCCTTGGTTTTTAGGAGCCAATCAACAGAATACTGTAAGAACTCTCTTGAAATGGCGTGTCTTTACATTTTTGAGAATGTAATGAGAAATGAAGGCAAGCTGTATGATTACTAATGTAACTTCGTTGGGAAGGGAGTAATTCCAAAAGCAAAATCCTGTGATAATAATTCTCAAGAATACCCTTTCCCCTTTTTACTCTACTACAAATTGGTTAGAATCTCTGAAGTAAAATTTTTAAGTGAAGTCCAAGTTCTTCAATACACTTAGCACAGACTGGCTAAACATTAATTAACCGCAGAGCAGTATCACCAAGAACTGACAGCCGTGAGAGATGAGTCTGCTGAGATGCATCAAGGTGCACATGTAGCCAGGTCACTGTCAGTATGGGTTGTGTTTGGGGACTCTGGGTATGGGTTCAGGAACTTCTGCTTGAACATCATTTTTAACTGTTGATCACAGTTTCATTAATTCCCATACATTCTAATCTCTGCTGTTCCCAAAACAGTATGTTCAGTGAATGAGAGCTCAGGGTGGAAAAGAAGAATTCAGTTGAGTTTTTGCTCTTGTCCAATAAAAACTGGGAATACTGAAGAAAGTGACCGTGGATATTCTGTATCAACTGTATAAATTGTACTATTTAAGTGTTGCATGTAAGTGCTACAATCCCAACTACATTTATGGCTTAGTAAAAGACATTTAGAACCTTATTCTGGATCAGGCCTTGACTCAGATTTTCATCATCCTAAAATACAGGTCATTAATGTTGAACTAATTGAGTTGCTTGCAAGAAGACAAACATCTGTTGTGGTTTCTCAAACTTGCAGCAGAAAGATGAGTTATTATGTTGGTGCACAATTGCTCATGTATAATTGAAGAAAATTGCTTATATGTAACCAGAAAGTACTGAAGTGATACAAGAATATATAAACATCTAATTACAAAGTACCTTGTTCATTCGTAAAAAAAATCCAGAGAAAATGTGATATTGGTGAAACTTGTCTGAAATGACCAATAAAAATATGCTGCTTAAATTAAGTATCTTATCAGAATTATTTCTAAGAGACAGTAAGCATTTATGTACTATGCTGCAAATACTGCACATAATATAAGTATGCTAAGGGGTAACTACTAGGCAAGAGAGAGAGAGAGAGAGAGAGAGAAAGAGTTTCCTCATCCTCAGTTCTGTTCTTTAAGCTTAATTTAATCCGTTTGTTGTTTGTTTTAATGGTAGTGATATGGATGCTGAAGAATGTCTTCTAATCAGTCTTTATAGTCTTCCTGTAGTGCAGGATTGTGGCTGTGACCCAGATATTGAGAATGAGCATGGTTATGAAACGGATGAGAACTAAAAGGGAAAAACAATGTTGTAAGATAAATCAAAAAACCCTAACTGCTGTCATTTTCAGATGACGTTGTTTTGTAAACCTTGGCTGGTGCACAGCCAGCCTAGTTCATATTCTGCAACTGTTTTCAGCCAATTAGTTTCAATTTCCGTGTTCAGGAACTCAGACGTTCTGAGCATAAATGCAACAGAAAAGAGCATTTAACACTTGATTGCTTTCAGTGATGTGAAAATAATACACTACAGTACCTTTACTTATTTTGTAACAAAACGAGAATGGCACAAGTGTGAGTAGCATCATATAATTTATATCAAAAGTTAAAATCGAGTTGCAGCTCATGTGTCCTTTATAGTTGTGTATGTCATTTAAATAAAGGGATTATTCTTTGCTGCCATCTGTTTAGACTTCAGGGAGACAGGAAATACTTGCATCTCTCAGATTTTAATGAGAGAAAACCTGACAGTGACAAAAAAGCACAGTTTTTCAGCACATTGATTAACTCATACATTTTTAAAACCATAATAAGCATAGTACCTTTACCTGTGAGAAAACTGAAGTATAGCTATGTCTGATATCCATTCAGTTGGCGGAATATTCACAGAAATGCACACAAAACTTGGTTTCAGAAGTATGTGATACTAGTTTCATACATGTGGATGTGTTTAGTGTTGCAAGTTAACTGGAAACATTTTCCATTAGAGCAGCACAGCATCAGTGTTTGCTGCTGTTTCTTGTTCTCTCCATGTTCCAAAGTGTATGGTGCTCAGTTTTACACAGCAGCTTTACTTTCCCAGTGTTTCCTCCCTCCCTGCATTGCATCTCTTCTCAACGTAAGTGTGTAGGCTGTGTTTGAAGTGGACTCAGTACCTGACCCTGACTAAATTTCTGCATGTGCATTATGCCAAATTTCTGGTGACTCAGTTAACTGCATGGCCCCACGAACTCTTAGTCTGGCAAAGAGAAAGCTGCAAGCATGGGGGTGGGAATGAAGGATTGAAACAGGGACTTCCTTGTCCAGTGAAAGAACCACTTGACTACTTGTAAAGCCACAGCCTTACTATGCTGCAGAGGCTGCTTAAAAAGTGTAAAATCTGTTCAAGTGATGTTTCTGATGAAATAGCAGTTTTGAACTAGAACAAGAAACCACCAGATGAAGTACAAAGGGATTTTGTTACTGTTCTTGCATCCACCAAGTCTTCATTTTGAACTATTTATTGAAAAATCTGCACTCCCTAGGTTTTCTCAGGATGGTAAAAAACTGTTAAATACATTTCTTTATAAAGAAATCAGCTGCAAGTTATATATTTTAAGCCAGTTTTTGCAAATTTCTTACCAGCCTACCATAAACTTTCTCAGTGTTGGGCCTGAAACTATTCATATACTAAGCTGAACTTCAGTTTTCTAGAATTTTTTAATTCATAAAATCCTCAATAAGAAAGGAAACAGTTATTATTTGAAAAGACTTTTGGCCCACCTTGCCCTATGTGATAAGCATAAGCAGATTTTTGGGTTTTTTCCTTGATGTATTTGTCTCATTTGTAATCCTGTTCTACTTTCTTGGCAGTAACTCCTTCCCTCACCATGTTGACCCACCACATTCATGGTTTGTTCTTCTGAGACCTTTCAGCTGTTTTAGAAAACTGAACTGTTTTATAAAACAGCTAAAAACTATTGTGGCAGCTGTTCTTCTGGACAGGCAGGCAGTTCTGTACTTTACTTACCTGCGAAATCATTCGTAGTCATTACAGTTGTAAGTATTCTTGCTGTAAATGGAATGAATTCGGATTAGTGGAACACATATGGCACATTTATACCTTCAAAAATGATAAAATATTAATTTTTCAACAGAGGATTATCTTGCATGAAAATACACACTGTATAGGCATTCCCCACTTTTAGTTCATTCCCTCTTCACTATTTTAGCTTCAGGGAGGTCTCAAAGCTGAATGACAATGTATTCAGGGTCTTTTTTAATGTGAAAATCACTGATATAATTGGAATTTTTATATGCATCATGCTAGATTGGATGTGGTCAGAGTTTACAGCTTTTCTTTTTGTTTAGCCCCTCCTTCAGTAGTTGACAGTGACCTGCACCCACAACAGAGTTAGTGTGATTTAAACCTTGTGAATATTCATGTGTGTGCTTCCAGACTCCTTCAAATAGGAGAGATTCAGCTTTCCTTCCCACAATGGACCGAAACATTAATTACTTCACATTTGCAGTAGACTAAATGCATTTACAAAGTCTATTGTCATTTCTCAGCAAACATACCACAACTCCTAATTATTGACTTAAAAACATTTGTTTTGTGTGTAAATAGATCCAGCATCACCGTGTTTTACAGTAAGGATATTTTAAACAAGTTCTGTGAAGATGACAAAGGCACTTCTGACAAATAGCAGGAGAAGAACTGTTCATGCAGATCACTAGGGAATTACCACAGGAACTGCACAAATCACTGTTCTTAAATTCTGTCGAGAAATTACATGTAGCCATAGAGTTAGAGGTATTTAGCATTAAGTGTGTATTTATTTGTAAAGGACTTTTCAAAATTAGCATTGTCCGATTGTCTAACTCAAATTTTAGCAGATTTTCATGCTCTGGATCACTAGTAATTTTATTAAATCCTAGAACATGGAAATCTTTTCTTCATAAAAACAGTACTTCAGTTATTTCAACTCAGGTTCCTTTGGCCATATTCACATGGAGTTTAAGTCGAAGTGTCACTGACTTTTATCATTGGTGTCTGTGATAACACTTGATTTCATTACACTGTGTGGTATCTGAGGCTCAGAAGTCAGCATTAAGGGAAAGTACACTAAGCAACATTTTACCTACTACATTGAGTAAAGAGTTATGGAAAGAGGCATTAGGAGAACTCAGTGCTTTGCACCACATTGCCCATAGCTTACTTGCACAAGTGTACGCAGACATACTCCAGGTCAGGGCGCTCACTTGTCCAGAATCCTTTGTCTGCCAGAGACACCGCAGCTGAGCCAGCTTACTGGCTGCACTGATGAACGTGCACAAGTTCTGAAAAGCAGGTAAAAAAAGAGAAAGAACCTCTGTCATTGTATTCCCTGAACAGGATCAGCTTTTTCATTTAGAATTAAAAAAAAATAGGCACCTTTCCAGTATTTGGCAGCCCAAGCATTTTAGCTCCGTACTAAGCTGTGAAGCAAAAAGTGGAAGTTGCCAGAAGCAAGGGACAGATTTCTGAGGTACTGCCCAGCAAGAGCATAACAATTGCTACTGCTGTTGGCAAATGCTTGACAGAGGCAAGTACAATCAGAAGGAAAGAAACAAAAAAAAGCTTCTCAACCTGCTCCATGAAGCTGTTTATGAAAGTCAGCTAAAATGAGACTGATCTAGTCTAAACAGCAAGGTTGATTCAGACCATCTGTTACCATTATGTCTGGCAAACCAAACCATAAAGGAATGAGAAAACTGACAAGAATGTGTGGAAAATTAGTCCAATTGGTGGGAAAAAATAATAATAGGAATGTACTATTCATTCTGTCTTCCTTTTAAAGGGGATTTTGCAAAGGCAGTGGGTAGAGAGGGCCTCCATATAGGCCTCTGTGCCATGCCCAGATTTCACTTGCTAGTAAGAATCAGTGTTGGGGTGAGAAGTTTTGCATAGAATCAACTTGGTTGGAAAAGACCTCAAAGGTCATTGAGTCCAACCCTACCATCGTTACTAGACTATGGCACTAAGTGCCACATCCAATCTCATCTTGAAAACCTCCAGGGATGGTGAATCCACCACCTCCGCAGCCCATTCCAATGCCTGATCACTCTCTCCATAAAAAATCTCTTCCTAATATCTAACCTAAACCTCACCTGGCAGAGCTTGAGTCTGTGCCCTCTTGTCCTCCTGCTGGTTGCCTGGGAGAAGAGACCAACCCCCACCTGACTACAACCTCCTGTCAGGGAGTTGTAGAGGGTGATAAGGTCTCCCCTGAGCCTCCTTTTCTCTAAACACCCCCAGCTCCCTCAGCCTCTCCTCATAGCACTTGTGCTCGAGTCCCTTCACCAGCCTCGTTGCTCTTCTCTGGACCTGCTACTGCACCTCAATATCCTGAACTGAGGGGCCCAGAACTGTACACAGTACTCAAGGTGTGGCCTCACCAGTGCCGAGTACAGGGGCAGAATCACCTCCCTGGTCCTGCTGACCACACTGTTCCTGATCCAGGCCAGGATGCCATTGGCCTTCTTGGCCACCTGAGCACACTGCTGGCTCATGTTCAGCTTCCTGTCTATCCAAACTCTCAGGTCCCTATTTGTATCATCTTTTGCATTAGCAACTCCAACCCATCTGAATTAAATTTTCACTTTTCTGGTAAAAAGAGGAAAGACCATCTTTGACCTATGTAGGCATTTTCAGATTATATTTTTCTTGCAAAATTGTAGGATTAAAGGGAAAAAAGAAATATTTCACATTCAAATGCTTTGACTGCTGCTCTATACTTTTCCTCTCATGTTAAAGTTTTATTAACTGGGATTATGACATTAGGACTAAAGTGTCAATAGAATTTCAACATATTAAATCTTTGTGAGTTTTAATCAAGGCACCAATAATTAACTTTACCTCAGAACATACCTTTTTGTTTCCCCATAGAGTCTCTACTGCCAGTGCTGTTTTCCAGCTACTCACAAAAGAGAACCAGCTGTATTTGAAAACTGGTTGGTTGTTCTGAAAGCTAACCTAAGTGATGAATTCTTCCAAGGACAAACATAAGGAGAAATTTCATTGATAAAGACTTCCAGAAAAAAAGTCATTTCATATGAAGACCTAACTTCAAATAATCATGCAGCACTTACCATGGCCATGTCTATTATCCACTTCCGCAGTGTTAGCATGTACCAGCCCACCCAAAACCTTGTATCACGTTAAGTTTCATAGCTCTGAAAATTCTAGGATACAAAGCTCTCAAAACTGCCTGTGGAATTAATTTTTTTAAATATCGGGAAATAATCTTATTGGAACTTTGTAACAGACTATACAATCCAGTTGACACATATTAAGCACTGTTGAAACACTTAAGTGTTCCTATTTTTCACACTGTCTTTGGTTAAACAGTGCCTGGAGTTTCTCAAGACCTGCTCCAAAGCACAAGACTTGAGATTTAAGCCCAAGTCCTATTTAAAAAAAACAAGCACTGCTGTCTTCATCACAGCAGGTAAAACCTGCATGGGTAGTAATCAAAGAAAAAAGATTTGTCACTTCTACTCTGCATGCGTAATGAAGATGTAAACTAAGAAATGGGTTTACTCTTCATCAGTTAGGAGCTTTCTAAAGCAGAGCTACATATCGAGCTTACTGCCTTTAGAGATTTTACTGTGATCCCAGAAGTCAGCATGTGAATGTGGAATGCATGTTGAGGGGTGGCTGAAAATTATTTACAATACTAGCACAAAACAAATGATAACATAGCTGCTGTGCAAAGAACCAACAAACAAGCCACATAAACCAAAATTCCCAGATTTCAAAGGATACGTGACTGCATAGAGCAAAGCTCTTTTCATGTTTCCACTGAAACGCAGAATGCACAAAAGGAGAATGACATCTGAAATAAATGGAAGATGGTTTGTCACACAAGAGGCTGCAGAAGGCCCAAACACAATCCTAGACAGTTCCACTGGGCACCAAGTCGATGGCAACTTGTTCCTTATGGGTTTTGTCTCTCAGATTTGATGGATGTTCAAATCCCTGCAAGCTCCAAAATGAAGCTTTTCTTAGAGTAAGGATGCACTTAGGCTGCAAATCTGTGTATTAATTAGGTCTTTCTCTACCTGACCACCTATTTTCATGACATTTTTAAGTATTCGATTTTATTTGAGATATTCATTTCCTCTTCCCCCAGACTCCAGCATCACTGCAGTGGAGTACTGTACCTACACTGAGCCTTGAGTGTTGAATGAGCCCTGTTTTATTTCCAAAACATAGCTAAAAAATTACCTTGTGCAATGATGATGGGATATTCCAGGTATGTCTGCAGGGGGTAACCATAATAGATCTGGTACCTCAGAAACACAAGGAAGCTGAACAGAAAGATACAAAACAGCGTGACTGAATGGAGGGACATGACAGGGCCTTCATGATGTCTTACTGCTTTGGTTGTGCCCAAAGGCTCCAGACCACAGGTGTAGTCCCTGCTGCCAAACTGAACAAACAAGGGCACAAAGTGCAAGCCTGATGTTTCTGTAGCCTATTTCTGTTACCCTCAAATAGAATAAGATGTAGAGAGCTGCCCACACTTCTCATCGAGTTCTTTATGTTACCATGTGTAAGGTATAATTTTATTAATTACAGCTGGTAAGACAGAAATAAAAGTTTCTGGTCCTAGGATATACCTTCTCTTTGCACCTCTCAGAAAACTCTGAATTCTTTATTTATGTCTGTAGTTCAGTCTGTACGTTAACCAAGTTTTACAGGAGTAGAAAACATTTTCCAAGCTGTCTAGACTACACTGTTATGAGATTACTCTACTGGTCAGACTGAGAGCCTGTTCCTAAGTGCACAAAACAATGGCAATTCTCCTTCCTGCCATTCCACAATGTAGTATCTAAAAGGAACTGAACTTTTATGATGTTTTCTTTACTTCCAACTCTCATGCAAGTCCTTGGGGTTAGAAAGAAAATTCAAGGCTGCATAGGAAACAGAAAGGACTCTGCGGGCAGTTTTGTGTAAGGAAAAATTTATGGTTTCCGGTGTAGAAAGATAGCACAAGGCACGCCTGCCTTCTAAGAAACTGTCTTTTACAGTACTCAGAACTTAAATACTGAACTTCCTAGAAGTGCTATTTGTTGTAGGCTCAAACTGGACTCCTTGCCATCAGCACCATGCTTCTGTGTCACTCCTCTGCTTGGTCACTGAATGCTGACTCCACAGAACCATCCCAGTTTGTACCAGCAGCCCCAAAGCTCCCACAGTTGGACTCAACGTCTTTAAAGGCTGTAGGATAAATATTCTATTAAACCAACAAACAGTCCCAAAAAATATTTCAAAAAAGACCAGAACCCACAGCAGTGTGGGTTTATCACACAAGTGCTGAGGAGATATTTATGGCTTCTCTGTGCTCATCTGAAACATTACTTACAAACATTTTTAATGCACACTAACACACACAAATGAGTTTAAAACACTGCCACTGCTTTTTGGCTGGGGCTGTGTGGTCATTTAAATCTGCTGGAACCAGAATTGACATCATTTCCTCTGAGGTGTGTTAAGGGTAAACAGCACAACAGGGGTTTGGTGCTGTGGAGAAACATGGGCAGCAAGTGGCCACAGCAGAGGCTGAGGAGATTCTGCACAGCTCCACGCAGAGAGGTGTCTGTACCCCTAAGCCTCCCAGTGCCAGACCTGGGTCAACAGCTGTGCTCCACCAGAAGGCAAGGTACAGGCACATTCAGAAATACCATGATGTTCTTCTGAGGGGATTTTTCTGGATAAAAAGCCCTTTTTCAGCTTAGTGCAGGGAGCTAGCAGCCATCCAGCTGGATGTTCTGCCCACCT